ATTATGGATTCGGAAGTGCCTCTTCTTCTTTACCCTTTGACTTGCTGTGCCTCCTGGCACCCTTGGTGCCAAAGGGATGGAGTTTAAATATGCACAGCCATGACTGGTGGTCACCACAGGCCTTGTAAGCTCATGGTTAGTCATGGAGCATAAAGTGAGGAAGTTCCTGTGTACCTGTAGAGACTCACGGCTAATGGAGTCTTGTATCACCTGATGAGAGTTTGTCTGGTAGCGATGGTGGAGTCTCATGTGCTGCATGTTATCTCGGGGCAGGTGTACGTCAAGACGACTTACAGGAGGTGATCGTCTGACAAGCACGATCTGTTGCCCCGTCACCTCGCCAGACTCACCGTCACGACGCCAGGGAAGGTCGTAGTGTAGCGAGAGGCGCCCATCTAGTTGTGGTGCGTCGCAGTCTGGTATGTGCCTGGCGTCCACTTCCGGCAGGGGGAAACCTTCTTCGTCCATCTTGTGAGACTATCTGTGGAGGAAATGATTGTCTTAGCTGAACTTCCCAGAAAATCATGATAAATACTACTCTTTTTATCCTAACATTCCCAAGTCTATTAGCATTTGTGTGGTGATAGAAAGGGAGTCACCCTAAAAAAATATTAAAATCATATGTTTATTATACCGTCGAATTTCACAAGTTAGATATTACTACAAAGATTCAAAGGACATCAACTCGAATATCAGGCGAGGCTAAGACTCTTTATGTAGACACACACACACATGAAGATATACAGTACAACTACACATATATACATGCCACCCTCACCCATAGATGTCCCCACACCCACACTCGTCTTCACCTACCTCTCCTCCATCTAGTAATCTACAGGGCCATCTATCTTAATACACAGTAATTTACGTGGGTTGTGGTGACGTCTCCTTGGCCTACATAATTCTATCTTCCTCACGCGTGTTGCTTATCGTTCAACCCCTTGACTAAAATACTATACACAATGTTAAGGTTGCCCAGTGTTCGATTTTTCTGGCCGATTAACTGACTAAGAAAGATAATTTTCAGTGTATTGTTGGTTTATTTATTTAAGTGTTATATTCTATTACACCTGAGATGGGATAAGTACTCCATTTATGCAGGTTATGTTGTATAATTAACACTGATTGACATAGTTCACTACTGCGTCTACGGTAGCCCATACGCTCATCTTCCTGACCTTACTCTACTGTGGCTCTCGTGTTACTCTACTTCCTCTCTCCTCGTGTTACTCTAATTCTTATTTCTGATCATACGTTTCATCTTTTTCCCACTTCCCACAATTAACTGAGAGTAAACACTTCACTCATTATCTAAAGTTTAAGTTTCCGTTAAAGTTTCAGTGTAATATAAATCGTCACGATAACACTGATAACTCGACAAATTTCGGTGAATTGTGATTGGTTAAGTCTGTCTCTGGTAACTGTGATTGGTTAAGTCTGTCTCTGGTAACTGTGATTGGTTAAGTCTGTCTCTGGTGAACTGTGATTGGTTAAGTCTGTCTCTGGTAAACTGTGATTGGTTAAGTCTGTCTCTGGTGAACTGTGATTGGTTAACTCGACAAACTGGTGAATTGTGATTGGTTAAGTCTGTCTCTGGTAACTGTGATTGGTTAAGTCTGTCTCTGGTAACTGTGATTGGTTAAGTCTGTCTCTGGTGAACTGTGATTGGTTAAGTCTGTCTCTGGTAAACTGTGATTGGTTAAGTCTGTCTCTGGTCCGGGGGTGGAAAGTTAGGAGAGGTGAGGAACTTGCACACCGTTCTGTAAACAATGACCATCTCTGGCAAGGGTCACCTTCACCAAGCTGTTGAACGACTAATAGTGATTCAGGGTACCACATCTGATAGCCGTCTCGGTATCGCAGTTGACGAATGACAGTCACCTTGGGGTATCACAGCTGAAAACTGACAACCTAATTGGGTACGACGGCTGACGAATGACAACTACACCAGGTATTACAGCTGATGATTGACAGCTTCCATGGGCTAACTGTCATACTCGGTTACCAAAACAAGCAACTGTCAGTTTCTCGTCATCCCAAGGTGCAGAAACTGACAACTTTCAGCCTCTCCTCGACTTCAGGTACCACAGTGTCAGAGCTGCCCTACATTCCTGGCAACACGAATGGCAATTGACAGTCGCCCCAGGCACCTCAGCTGACAAATGGCTACCCCGGGTATTACACCTGCTATGAAGGGGCTTTCCTCACTCCTGGGTACCATAGCTGGCGACTGACAGCCACCCACCCCCATACCACAGCTAACGACTGACAGCTATTCCTCACTCCTCTACCATAGCTGACGACTGACAGCTATTCCTCACCCCCATGCCATAGTTGACGACTGGCACCCACCCCTCTCCCCATACCATAGCTGACGACTGACAGCTATTCCTCACCCCCATGCCATAGCTGACGACTGATGTCCTCTGGATGCCAGCTCATCCTCTGACGTCAAAGACAGTACATCCACCCAGCCAGGCGAGACGCTCAGCCACACTCATAACACTCAGTAAATAACGCACCGTCACTCGCAGTAATCAGTATACGTAACTCACATAAGCTTCCGTAACAGAACAGCAAAAATGGCGGTGAAACTTCCCTATGACTCACCGGAAAATAGATGGAAGTTATATCACCCTTAGTTGTAGTTAAAAAAAAAAAAACGTAAGAATGTTTCGAGAATCCGGCGGGGATTCCTACCTTGAGGGCGACAAAACACTTCGACGAGGCCTCACCAGTAGGGGAAACCCCGCTAACTGGTTCACACTTTCTCGATACTTTTAATTTATATCGAAGGGAATAAATTTTAGGTATACCTTCAATCAGAATGTCATGGCAAATAGAAATGTAAGCAATGAAATCACCTGTTCCGACTTTAACTAATTTTCACTGAACCACAGCAGAAAATTATCCCTATGATTCTTTTGTAGTTGATTAACATGTTTATTTTCATATAAAGACTGTTTCCTGTTATCAAATTTCAATACCGTGGAAAATAGATACAACTATATAATGAACATAGCTTACCTGAGAGAGAGATGATAAACACCGGCCAAACACCTTCACTGTGTAGCTCCTGCTCACTGCCAGAGTCCTTCACAAACTCAGCGAGATGTGGCAACTATGGAAAAAATATCGAGTTGATGCCAGGTGTCACTAGATAATGCAACTTATATCAACACTGAAACTGACCATTAGTTAAACTTGCAATATTATTTTAATTTCTGCTTAGTTTTAAGTCCTTGTCAATATTTATTTTATAGCTCATTTAACTAATCATAATAAGAGTATCAAGTAATTGAGAAAAAAGTGAAGCAGTACCAAACTGTCCCGTGCATGTGGTGTATACATAACAATGATGCAATGGATTCTAGGATATAATACTCAATATGTTCACCATGTCCTCTTGACACTCGTGACGATATGTTGGTTTATTTTCTTTCTACTAGATTCACTCAGGCACAACTGACTGAGTTTATTGGTCTGTAGCTGTTTAGTATTTTGTTTCAGTTCCAGAGTTGACCCATTGCCACGTGCTGACACCTGTCGGCAGTGGTAATACTGTTGCTGTACAAACACTGATTTCTCTTTCTCACACGGAAGCTTCTCCTTCATGAGGTTGAGGTGCAGGTCCCCCCTTCCTCCTGTGACCTGCTTCAGCTCTCCTTTCTTTATTTGACAGAATCGCAGGAAATATGGACAATAAGATTCCCGTTACTAGCTACAGTTCCACCTTCCTGCCTGACACCTAACTTCACTTACTCACTGACGGAGAAAGCCTAATTGCCATCCACCTAGAGACCGATTAAGATTTGGCAATGTCCTGCCGCTCCCCTGTGTTAAGTTTTTCCTACTTCAGTATACGTATTGGCTCCTCGTGTCTCCCGATGCAACGAATGTCTTCAAGTTTTGTTTTTCTCGGTTAAAGCGGAGCTGTACGTGCGGGTGTCCTTCTGCTCCTCGAGACGTTGTCGTGCTCCCTGTCGAAGGTTAACACGTTCAGTAGCTCGTTCTAGGGTCGGTCCCAATGTCATCTTCCTAACTTATACGTCACGTGGGGAAGTAACACAACATCATTTGAGTTAGGAGACAGTTTCCTGGCGGTATAATATGTTGCGCGCGCGCATGCACACATTTCTAAGAAAGACCATTGAACTCATGACATGAAAAACGGCTTGACAAGTGAGGGAGACACGTCATAAAGGCCGGTCAGGTACAGGTAATTACACACAAGGTAAAGCAAGTGTGTGTTTAATTCTGAATGACTCATAGTGGAGGGACTGTTTATATTCCAAGTGCGCGCGCGCGTGTGTATGAGTCTATACAATACAACAAACACCAGCTAAGACAAGAGCTAAGATAACAGACAACGGAAAAGACAACAGCTAAAGGTAAAGAAACATGCAGCAAATAACTCGACGGGACACAGGAAGTCGGTCGGTGACGTCAAGGGTTGGAGACGTCAGTGTTGTGTGAGTGGCGCTCCTTTACCGTGGTCACCCAGCCAACAGGACGAACTCTTCATGCACGGAAAATACCTGGTTCTCAGCACGTACAACACTCACCACCTGAAGATTAGCCCTCCTTCCCTTGCTTATATCATATTAAGATTAACCACTCAAGATTAATCTAACTTAACGTAACCAGACTTAGTGAATGAAGTTTATTTAACCAACCTTAGTGAATGACGAACATCTTGCTAAATAACAAGGGGTGTAAACAACTCTCGGCAGGTCGTGTGTCAAACTTTCTCTCTGAAATGGGAATAAGAGATCACACTTACCTTAAGTAGGTACAGTTAAGTGTTTATTACGACGACTTTCAGGAGCTGTGTTGGTAGATGGAAGCATTTTCACGTCTTTAGTTACGAGGAAAAAATATCAACAAACGAAAATGATCACGTAAATTAACTAACTATATATATCACTATTTCAACAATAATGTATATAATGTCACTAAACGTACACAGAGTCACCTTTGCATAATGAAACTCTAAGTAAACTTTTGTATTTTATTTACAAACATGTTTAACAATTTTGGTTTGAAAAAAATATTGGAATGCATGATAATAAACATCTAACATTGGAAACTAATTACAAAGAATATTGTTCGTTGATGAGTGTTCGTTCTGGTGGAATGACCTATGCTTGAGAATTTTGTAAGGTACAGTGAGAATGACGTGACAATACTGTAATGCATAAACTGATACTCTGGCCATGTTATGATATACGAGTGACTGACTAAACTATTAAAATCACTAATAAATGTATATTAATATTATGTTTAAGGTCTAAGCGACAACCAGTCTGAATAATCGGTCATGTCACTGTTGATCTGCTCTACAGACCACATCCAGACCAAAACACAATAACATCTCAAGTGGTCTTTTGTTCACTAGTCACATCACAGTCTGGTCTTATGGTCATGAATGCAACAGTCTCGCTAGAAGACCACACACAGACCAACAGACCACCAAGGTAAGTTTTTCACAGGTTTGATGTTGAACGTGTAGCGACATAGAATAGATTACTTAAGGAACTGTAGTTGTTAACACCCAAGACCGTCATTTAGAGGAACAAACTACATCCACCATTATACACCAACTCATTACAAAAAAAAAAATCGAAATACATACAAGTTTGTAGTCATAAAATAAACAAAAATATGTTTCAGGCCTCTACAGCTCTCTAAGCAGTTTAATACTCTATATATATCAAGTAAATTAAAGGTCTTAAATCTCTATTATGATTAAACAAAAAATGACAATCCTAATAAAAAAGTGAGAGGGGAGAGCAAATTTCTGGCTGGCGTATCAAGAACCTTCCATGATATACAATAAGTGTTCATAAACGATGTTCAGATTAAGTTTCCTTGTTACAAACTGTCCATGTTACTTCCAAATATGACAATTACATTCTTGTGGTCATTTCTTGCCGAGCCGCCGCTGGTGTATTGCTTAATGCTACTTGTGGGAAAGTAGTCTTCATGAAGGCAGCACCATCTTACTTTAGTAATATTTATATGCAACGTTCCTCACTACCCGACTGCCATTCCTCTTCTTTCTTGACACAAGCTCTCGAAGTACTTTAGCACAGTTTTAGATTGCCTCGTGTATCGACAGTAAGGGCAACTAAGATACCTTACACTGTAAATAAGTGGACCCTGATACACTATACTAGTAAACACTGGGTCTAAACCTCTCTCGTCCCCAGCTAGATGGATCTTCATGTGATTGTACAACTGGTGGTAGTAGGCGACTTGTATTCCCACTGCTGGCACACAAATTTTCAGCGTTACTGCAAGTATTCTCAGCAACCATACTAAACAACACGGCACATACACGGCATAGTCTCCCAAAACAACTTGAAACGGCACCCAGAAGCTATATTTACTCAACTTTGCGGCACCATCATCGTACACTAACTGACCACGACAAAACTCCTTCCATATACTTATATTGATTTCTTTTCTACTTGATTTATTTTCGGTAGATACAAGAGGGACACGGAAAGGTTTTCTCGTAACCATCTTCTCGAGGTGTAGATCACGCTGGAGTTCTGGAGGCTGGAAGTTATGGAGGGTGTGGAATGGCACCTGGGGCTGTTTTTGGCGCTGGCTAGGACACGAGCGAAGGAAGTTCAGGTGCAAGTGGAGCGTCCTGTGACTGATAGAGTGCTGCGGGGTCTCAAGCTGGGTCCTCTTTAATCTGCGACGGAGGAACTCGTTACCTGATTGAATAGGACGAGTTTCAGGAGGTTTTCTGAACATGATTACTCTCTGTCCCGTCGTCTCGCCCGACTCCTGGTCTTGACATCTGGCTGGGTCGGCTGCAAGGTAACCCACCTCGTAGTCCGGAGCGAATCTGGCCTCCATCACCAGGGGGAAACCTTCTTCGTCTATCATCGCGGCAGATTAATGGCGGCAATCTGTAGAGGATATACAAGGCTAAATAATAGATACATCCTTCCACACTCACACTCCACCCTTCCACACTCACACTCCATCCCTCCACACTCACACTCCACCCTTCCACACTCACACTCCACCCTTCTACACTCATTCTCCATTCCTCCACACTCACACTCCATCCCTCCACACTCACACTCCATCCCTCCACACTCACACTCCACCCTTCCACACTCTCAGACAAACTTACCTCTTCCTATGCCGGGACTAATATGAATGCACTCGCAATTTCAGACTACCGAGCACGAAACCATACCGTAAACACAGCCTATGACGTCACATCGAAGGCATGACACCCTAGACACATCCTATGACGTCACATCGAAGGCATCACACCCAAGACACAGCCTATGACGTCACATCGAACGCATCACACCCTAGACACATCCTATGACGTCACATCGAAGGCCTCACACACTAGACACAGCCTATGACGTCACATCGAAGGCATCACACCCAAGACACAGCCTATGACGTCACATCGAACGCATTACACCCTAGACACATCCTATGACGTCACATCGACGGCATCACACCCTAGACGCAGCCCATAAGTTCCTATGCTCACACAGAGGCTTTGCGTGATACCTTATACATAATCATTTGTTTCCTGAAGCGATAAATCGTTCTTACTTCTGGCAGCCACCTTACACAAACACTGACGGCGTATAATACCTTAGTTGATCGGGAGTCTTGGAATTAGTCGTCCATGGTGGGGTGGGTGGGTGGGTGGTGTGGGTGGTGTGGGTGGGTGTGGGTGGGTGGGTGGGTGGAGTTTCATTACAACACACGTCACTCCTTTCTCTCCACCCACACACCACCTCTGACTTATGGTTTGGTAGATTCACTTCATCACTCCCGGGTCAATGCTCTTCCTAAAAATCCTTAATTGCACTGAATGATTTCCTCTGTGATGCTGAATGAATTACCTCTCCTGAACAAATGTCGTGTTGTTGACATAATTAACCTGACGCTGCAGTAAACATTTTGACGTGAAACGACTCAGGTAATTAGTTGTGTAATTAATGACGTTCATTGTAATTAGAGTGGGCTTCAGTCCAAATAGGTCCGGTAGTACTGGTGCACATTAGGATTGGAACACATTTTTTGAGGATTGGGAAGAGGAAGAGGGAAAGAGGGGAAGAGGGGAAGAGGGGAAGAGGACGAGTCAGGAAGAAGAAAAGGGAGAAAAATGGAAAAATAAATCGATTAAGAAAAAGTAACAAATTTAATAAACATAAATTTCAATGTATACCTCCCACTATTCTCTTGTTGCCAGCATTTCGCAATTTCACGTGATGGTCCAAAGCTACACGAAGGAACAAAGTAGCGTCACTACCGAGTTGTGTGTGGTATGTCATCATCATATTCGTCTTGTTACGTTATATAACAGGATGACTCGGGTGAAAGAAGCACGAGGTTACTTTTGTGATTTATGGAAAAATTTGGAAGTGCATACAGTAATTTTGAGGAATGAAGATAATACCGTAAAGTGAATTTAACTTGAGTGTAAGTTCTAGGTGAGAGTGTTCATAGAAGGTTAAGTTAGGGCGTGATGGGGAGGGTGACAGGGTGGGTGATAGAATGTGAACAGATGATGGGGGAATGGGGAGGGTGATGGATGATGTTGATATCTTCAACTATGAGTGAAAAATAAAACATTGAAAAATAATCTACATGACATAAGTCGGTATTAACAGTTTTATTGTTACTTAAAGATGTTAATGTGTATCTGATGACCCACAAATGCCTGAGCGACTAATGTAATGTTAAATGTGGTTCTTCTGCTGAGACTGTCATTACTTTTTACTGAATCACTTTTGTGTAATTCTTTCCCAGGATTTCGCTGTTGTCTCGCGTGCTATTGCGATTTTGAGTACATACATTATCCGAGTGCTGAAAGAAGCCAGTACTCTGACCACTAGATTCTACCAGTACTAGACGCTAGAGTACTAAGTGAACCTGGTAGTCACTAGATTCTACCAGTACTCGACGCTAGAGTACTAAATAAACCCGGTACTCGGACTTATTCGATACCCATCCGTACTCAACATCTGGGGGTAAAACACGAAACTTGGCATCGCTGCAGGTCAAATATTGAGGAACGGCAGTTTGGCAACGCAGCCCTGTAAACAAGAGAAGAAACTCAGGCACTTTGCTTGGGCGTGAAGCTGTGGGTGAAGGGGGGGCACTCTTCTTCTTCTTCTTCTTCCTCATCTTTATCCACGCACCTCCTCTTCTTTCTTAGCTTTATCCACACACCTCATCCTCCCCCTCATCTTTTCCACACACGCACCCTCTCTCCCCCTTCATCTTCATCCACACACCCCTTCCTCCTCATCATCTTTATCCACACCCCCTCCTCTTCATCTTTATCCACACACCCTCTCCTTCTCATCTTTATCCACACCCCCCTCCTCTTCATCTTTATCCACACACCCGTCCTCCTCATCTTTATCCACACACCCCTTCTCCCTCTTTCATTCCGTGTATCTCACCCAGCGACAAAGTCAACACTGAAAACAACCTTTTTCACATTTACAATATCAAATTACCTTTCAACGTAGAGACTTTTACACTGGCTCCCAAAATACCACAGGATTACTCGACAGATTTCAGCCTTTGAGACTTGAATCCACAAAGTTTCGTACACTTTCCTCTCTGTAAAAATGAGATACAAAAGACTCTCCTATTCGCTAACAGACACAAAAAAAACACATAAAACAGCGGTCATCAAATGGTGTCCGAACTACACCTCACAATATAAGATAACTCGACGTGTTAACTTTGATTTACAGATAGAAGGGGAAGTAATCTCGAGGAAACTGGCTAAGTCATATACCCTGGAAGAAGTTTTAGATGGTGTTGTTGAGCTAGAGCCTTGAGAAGCGACAATATAATTTTAATCTCTCGTCTTAGCCTGAGTCAGAGGTATTATATGTTACCTGGGAGAAGTCGATGGTGGTAGGATTTACTGAACCTCTGACTGACTGACTATTGACTACCTTCCTGCCTGTGGTCTTACGTACACAAGTGTTTGTTTTATGTTGTTTGTCTGAAGCCCCCCGTAGTTCCTTCCTCTTACAACCTCCACAGTAGTTGCTGCTATCTTGTGTCTCTCCTCAACACAGCCACATAATCAATTAAACCTCTACTGTGTTGCGGTATTAAGACACACCTGGGGGTTAGTTTAGATTAAAGGTAGATTAAGGTGATTAATCTTCAGGTGAAATAATCCAGCATGCCTAACTGGGTCTCTAAAAGGCTCTCAATATCTTCATTTAAAAGATAAAGTCAATAGTAGGAATCTTTGAGAATTCAGTTTTTCCTCAAAATTGTGACTTTAAAATAAATTGTCTAAAGATACGGTAAATTTCTCTCAATAATGTGATTTACGATACAATAAATTATAATTGAGCGTCACGTTGTTAAATGATTATAGAAAGTTATATTATTAGGGTGGTTATAGTATATTATACTACGTTGTTAATAATTATACTACATTCGCTATAACTGAGTACATTAAGTTATTATTTGATCATTATAGCACATCGTATTGTTAAATGAGTTGAGAAAGGAAAATAACAGATTAACATTGAAGGTCTGGACTAATGAAATTTTGTCCCAGGTAATGTTTTCGTGGTAAGGTTTTGCCCATAGTGTTTAGAGTAAATTTTGTCCCAGGTAATGTTTTCGTGGTAAGGTTTTGCCCATAGTGTTTAGAGTAAATTTTGTCCGAAGGGAGGGGCAGGGGGAGGGGGGTGGGATTTGTCCATGCACCATCAGCTGGTTTAATGGGGGATTTGAGTAACTTTTAACAGGTGACTACTGGCAATGACTTTATTCAGTATGATTAATCAACCAGACGCTAGCCGAACCTAACTTAATCAAACTCCAAACTTATCTTACCTAGCCTAACTAGATCCAAAGTTAACCTAACCCAATCAAACTTAACCTAAAGTACATTAATATAACCTCGCCAGGTAGCGTTCGGATGGTTAATCTTCAGGTTATATATATATATATATATATATATATATATATATATATATATATATATATATATATATATATATATATATATATATATAATGAACAAAACACCGAAAACCCCCGGGAAAGGTGCCTGGAGTTGGGAGGAGGGGGGGGAGTTAAAAGGTCAATGTTACAGACAAACCCACGAACAGAGCTGCAAATCATTTATTTTTGTTCCTGTGACATGAACCAACTAAGCGTAAATCCACGTAAAATCACATTCAAATTGTTTTATGTCGTCTGCTTTCAAAACAAGTAAATAAAAAATAAAATATAAAAAAGTATCATTTATGTTCGTGGTATTTTCCCAGCAATGGTTAACTTACGGGTGGTCATAGACGTAAACAAACCATACCCTATAGTATAGGGTATGGCTCGATAGGTATAGGGCCTATACCTATCGAACCCTGTCCCCGACAACACACAACTCAGCCCCAACTCTGCTGGTGCCACAACCTGTAATTGTCAATGAAGTGGAACGCCCGTGTTTTTTTTTGTTCACTGTCCCTTAAAATCCTTCCCAGTTACCTGATGTCAAGTAAATGATACAAATAACGACGAACACTTTGGCATCAATTTGTTCACATCTCACTTGGGGTAGAAATTGACTGCAGAAGAATCTGAAGGTCGGGTCAATCCTAGGTTACAGTATTAGAGGGAATGAAATAATGGTGATTCTCTCACTAACAAGAAGACAAGAGTTGCGTGTCGTGTAACTGCTTGTTAGGTAAATAAACGTCGAGTCTCTGGTATCCTTCCCTCCCTCCCTCCCTGTACACTGACGGATAGATGACATACTCCTTTAGCTGTTGTGTAATGATGCATAAAAGTCACATCACTAGAGGATCTTTTCTTCCATTACGATAATAACAGTATCAAATCTCCTCCAACTTTACACTATATCTTTATCACACTTCTACCATGACTTCTTAATTCTTTACGGTATAATGCCTTCAAAATACTCAACCTTAACACAATACGTAGGGAGGCTTTGTGAGTGCGGTTGATCCTGGGCGACGGTAACAAAGGCGAACAATTTTACTCCCTAAATATGGCTCGTGATGGAGAGAGTCTTTATTGACACTGTGCGACTACAGGACTTTCTGAGCCTCTCCCAAGGTCACAATAACACTGGTATTAAGTTCGTCTCGCTGTGGGGGGCGTTAACGAGCTGTTTTCCTGTCCTCTGTGGCGTCTGAAGAACTTTGGTCTTGTCTGTGGGTCTGTGGGAGCTCTTGGGTCATTATGAGAGCTATGGTACCCTCCTCACTGTGGTCTGTGGCTCGTTACAAGGTCTGGGATGCCTTTAATCTGGTCTGTGTGATTGTATTCTTTCGGGTCTTTTCTATGGTTTATGGGTCCCTCCTATGGTCTATGGGTCCCTCCTATGGTCTATGGGGTCCCTCTTATGGTCTATGGGGTCCCTCTTATGGTCTATAGAGTCTCTTCCGTGGTCTATGTGCCCTTCACCTGGTGTGGGTAGGGGCCTCATCTACGCAGCAGTGTTCCGCCCTCTGTCCTTCCCTCAGGCCTCACAGGAACTGAGCAATATGTCATCCTGGCCAGCCTTCAGCCAGCGACAGTCTTTTTCTCTTTTTTATATATCTTGCCAGTCAGCTGTTATTCATCACGAGGCGCGTAGGAACCAGATTACTAAGCGAATTCAATACCGTAAAATAGAGTCCATGGTGATTTTCTGAGTATTATCGCCGAGTGTATAGGGCTAATTTTGTTCTTTGGATTACTCGGACGCAAAAACGCAATATTAATACGCTGCACATGTCAATGAATACATAATGAGTTCATACATTGACACACTGATAACAGTAAACTTGTCATAGCAACAGAGGGTAAAATATCAATGTTTTATGAATTACTCTAATATTAACATGATGCGTTATTTTCTGCAGTGCGTCGATGGTATAAGGAATTTATTAAGTAATTTATACTCATTTCGGACCACGTGAAAAGGTACCCCATACTGTGTCAGCTGTAGATTAATCATCCTAACGCTACATGGAGGTTGCGTTAGGTTAAGTTAGCGTTAGGTTAGGTTAGGGTGGTTAATCTTAAGGTGATCCCTGCATCAAATGTTTTCAAACTTACTTTAATATTCCACTGACGATGTAATCTCTGTCTCTCATCATGGTAAGTCTTTACTTTGTGAATATTAAAGATGTTTTCTTATGTACGAGTAGTTAATTAGTATTGATTCTCTCGCCTAAGAGTCATAAACTAAAAGCGTTATCCTACGTCCCTGTTAAGATTTGGACTCAGATTATCAGAGATTTGGGAGTTAAAAATGAGTTAAAAAATCCTCATAAATGAATACTCAAGAAAGAACGTCACTGATTAACTTAAGGTACAACAAAAAATACGTTCAAATTTGGTAAATAAATTACACTAAGAATATACAGTAGCTTAAGTTACGTTCTCTTAACATCGTTCAGGAGACAAAACAGACATTTGATATTCATTCAGTGGAATCATCATGCATTGAATCACCAGGTATATACGAGCATACTGTCATTGAATCACCAGGTATATACGAGCATACTGTCATTGAATCACCAGGTATATACGAGCATACTGTCATTGAATCACCAGGTATATACGAGCATACTGTCACTGAGTATATACGAGCATACTGTCATTGAATCACCAGGTATATACGAGCATACTGTCATTGAATCACCAGGTATATACGAGCATACTGTCATTGAATCACCAGGTATATACGAACATACTGTCATTGAATCACCAGGTATATACGAGCATACTGTCATTGAATCACCAGGTATCGTGTAGATCGTGCGGGTATTATTATAAACGACGTACAGTAAACTCACCTGCTGCTCTACAAGCCCCAATATTCAGACTCGTCGTGAATCCAAAACATCCATGGACAGAATAATACATTAGGTTCGTGGAGGTGCATGGAAGGAGACAGCCTAGTGCTCGTGACTGTACATAAGAGAGAGCAAGTGTACAGACAGTGTACATAGATAATGTAGGTATATAAACGATGTACAGAGGCAGTGTAGGTATACAAATACTGCTAAACAAGATACACACATGCAGTACAGTATTTGTATGTAAGGACTCACTCCAAGTAATCATATGAAGATTATTTTTTACTCTTTGCGTGAGCCTTAACGGAGTACCGAAGTGTGTGTGTGTGTGTGTGTGTGTGTGTGTGTGTGTGTGTGTGTGTGTGTGTGTGTGTGTGTGTGTGTGTGTGTGTGTGTGTGTGTGTGTGTGTGTGTTCGTTTTAAGAGTTTTGTTATGCTTGTTGTGTTGTCAAGATGGTTTATTTCCTTATTATCTGATAAGAGAAAGAAGCAGCTAAAAATATCAAGGCTTATCACTTATCGCTGAAGAACACCTTAAACCAACACTACTAATCAAGATATTTTATCAACGACACGACCACAGAGTTGCACCACACAAGACAGCACACGACCTTCAAGGGTATTCCTGCCTTAATTCATTAGAGTGCCGTGCTAGTTCCCACTTATAGTTGCAATAAACAGGATACATTAACCACGCTAACCTAACCTAACCTAACCTAACCTAATCTTACCTAACCTAATCTTACCTAACCTAACCTACCACCCTGATGAAAACTTTGATCTGGGCAAAATGAATCTTTATGTTCAGATTTTTTTTTTTAAATAAACTTTACCGTAATAGATCACGGCCTCGTATCCAGGTGAATGGAAAATTAACTCTGGACCGAAATTATTCTCGGTTATCCCCAGAATATGTCACTAAGAAGGCAACAACAATCGATAAATAATAAAGTGAATCTCCGGGAGGTGACTTGTGTGGCGTCTTAAGCAAGATGTTGTTACCAAGGGGTGGGTGTGGGGGGGTGATCATCTGAACCCCCCAACAATCTTATCATCTTTATAAACACTTGAGGAAAAACACAAAAATAAAATGATTCTAGATAGCTGTTGTTATGAATAGTTACCAGAGTACAATAGTCACATCACTCACTTAATATTCATTGGTATAACTCATACTAGAGTATTGTCAACTCTTAAAATCCACGAAATTTCAGTATGTCTTTATATTTCAAAACATTAGCTACCCGGCCTAAACTCGTATCCTTTTATCGGTATTTGGACCTTCCACCGCTTCTCTTACTGCTCCTTGGGCTATTATTCCTCTCATGACGTGAATACACAACTCTTAAGAGGCACCACTACCAACCCCATCCACTACCACAGAGAGCGATAACATGTTTACTTCATCACTCCGTTACTAATGTGAACCACAGTGCCCCGACATAATACAAAACATCATTTAATATTCACACAGGTAGCAAAATATACCCTCAATCACACAATTTCTTCCTTACACAAAAAAAAACAACAACAATAAACCATGAACGTAACAACTTGCACATGATTATACTTACCACAGAACACTCCTTTGAAAACTGTTGAATCCCAGGAGAATGTAATACACACACACACACACACACACACCAGTGACAGAGGGTACTATTACATGGCCGTGTTGTGAAGGTTGACTGGTTGAGGGTTCACTGCGGTGCCTGTTGGTATAAAGTTCACAGCTACCAACGTTCACTTACTGTTTCTCTTTATATTCGTTTCCTTTACGTAATTTCAAGCTATTTTTTTATCATAACCTATACATAATAAATATACTTAAGGGATAATGTTAATTTATGCGGTTGACATTATGTGTATTAAAGTAAAATTGGTTTATATGTGATTTGTTACCATGGCGATGTGTGGCAACTTGGATTATATATTAATCTAATCTTCCATCATTATTGTCACACGACTTTCATGGTGGACCTAGGCTGACTACCGGAAGCTCCATAAGGTGTTCTCATCAATGAACATAAAACAGAGAAATAATACAGCAAAAAAGACTACTATTTCACGTAAGGTTTTGAGTTAATTACGGTAAGACTTCACTGATAAATCTCTGAAAATGGTGAATGATATTTTAAAACCACGAACAAGTCTAATTGAGTATTTATATTCCAGGACGACAGGAAGGATAATTAATTTAGTGTCGTACCATCTAAGAAAAAAACTTAGCGACTTTATGCGTGGTACACTTCTAACATTGGTCATCCTGCTGGGGCTCTTGGCATCACACACAATAACACAAGTTTAGCCGTGGTTCTACGTTTTCTATGAACTTCCCATTTTTGTACAAACACGTCACAACGTTAGAGCTAAGGACACACACACACACACACATCCTATGGTTATCAACGTAAACAAATAAGAATGAAGATCTAACATAAAGCCATGTTGACTCTGGAGGTAGTCTGGAGGATAACCACGGTATAAATAACAAGATAGCAGTAATCAAGATAACTGTACATAACGACAGAGAGAGGCCAAGACAACAAGCAGAAATATCCACACATACTTCTTCTTATTCTCATCTCATCTGCCAAATTTACACAGTGAACAATTACCATCCACCTGGTCTAAAATGTTTCCTTATCAGATTAACGTATCATCTTAAGATTGACCCCTAAGCTTATTTAACCTTAAGATTAACAACCTTAATGCTAACCTAACCTAACCTAACCTAACCTAACCTAACCTATTCCAAATTAACCTAACCCCCTAGTATCATTGATAATATGTTTAATTTTATCAGATGAATAAAGGTGTGGGGTTAATCTTTAGGTCATCCAAATTAAATGATCTTACACTTAAGTCATAAATGCATACTGCACCTCCAAATTAGGCCGAGGTAAAATATTTTCCTGCCCAGGTGGGTTAGTCAACAAGAATGAGCTTCCGAAGTTTTAATGAAATAAAGTTCAGTGATTTTGTTTTCATTTCTGCATTTTAGATATTGAGTGTGTGTGTGTGTGTGTGTGTGTGTGTGTGTGTGTGTGTGTGTGTGTGTGTGTGTGTGTGTGTGTGTGTAACAAACTCCTACTCCATCACTCTCTGTAGGAATATTTTCTGCAGCTTTCGAAAAAGTTTTCTTTCTCATTACCTCCCCTGAGGACGACCCTCTGACAGAACTCCATAAATAAAAACGAGGAAATTATAACCAGCTCGGTAAGTTTGTGAGTTGTGTGTCGTCTCCACTGAAGTATGAGATGAAAGTTTCTTTTTGTGAGGCAGACAACTGTAGAGTTTGTAAGCATATTTACTTCTGGTTTTGTATTGCAAGTGATAATTTCTGAAGTTCCTCACAAGTACTGTACACTCTAGGGTCGTAAACCCACTCTAGTGACCTCTGGCAATGAGATAAAAACCTAAGTTAAAACTATGGTATAATATTAATATAATATGAAAATTAATAAACTTAAAAAATAAATTAAAATCAAATCAAATATTACTTTAAAAACCACATCGTTGAAAGCTGATGCGGTTTCTAATCTCTGGCTTCTCTCGTCAAGTATCTCCTTATCTCTTATCTCACCAGGGTATGAGAGTCAGAACTTTGAAGTTAGTGACAAGAAGGCTAGAGATAATGCGATAAATATGTCAAGGCGAGACCTGAGCCTGACCCATCACAAGAGGCATTACCTAAGTTCACGGTTATAAGCTCAGGGATAAGTGACCTCTTGATGCAGGTGTAATGTGGCCTGACAGAGTTACCTGAACAGGTAGTCACCTCTCCAAGAGTGTTAGCCCTCGAGAGCTCAAAGTAGGTGTGGTATTGTCAATAGTCCACCTAATTTAACTATGATGAAAATCTGGATATTCAAAACTAACGCCCCGACCAGAAGAGACCAAAGCAAAAACAGTATAGGACTGACCAAGGTCTAAAGAATGCGCCAAGATGCGGTATTGCGCAGGTGGTCGGAACTGTGCTGACATCACGTGCACCACAGTGAGGCACACCAAGTTTGGGAAGGTGCAGCATCTATCAACCTTGGGCTAGTGGAGAGTTGCAATTATATTTGATATTAACTGAGCCACTACTTCATAAAATAATATACAATTTTGTAGTTGTAACTAGCAAACTTGCTGATATTGAAAAAAAAATGTAAATCTAAAGTGCATATTAATAAATACTGTAAAACCACACACACATGAGATTAAAAGCGATTTGTATAAAGAACAATGTTAACTAGGAAAATAATTCTGGACAACTTAATAAATAAGAATAAGTGGTACCTTAGCCTTACTAAGGCCACTGTAATAGATAATGTCCGGCTCGTAAACCAGACAAACATCACAAAACAACCACAAACACTAGGAAAAATAAAACAATATATTAAAAATTTAATCTTCATTATATTTACAAGAAACTTCCAGTTAAGTCATCATAAAATACAGACACACTTGATCACTGTTTGGATTATCTCTCTTACACACCATAACTCTAGTATCACACTGGATCTATACTAGTAGTCGCTTTGTACCTAAATGGAGAATTAAATCCTTAAGCGAAGAAAACAAAAAAAAGATCACAACCGGTTAGGAGATTCGTCTTTTTCCGAATTAAATCAAACATCATTAGACTTAAAACGAAGGAGAGGAAGCTATCACTGGAAGCGGGGGGTAGAGGGGGGGCTAGGACTTATGGGTCAGGGATTAGGACTTATGGATCAGGAGTAAGGGGTTAGCCACTACGAGTCAGGGGGTAGGGGATAGGATTCAGGGGTTAGGAGCTAGGACTCAAGGATAAGGGCCCAAGAAATCAAGGGAGTTAAGGGGTAAGGGGTAAGAAATTAAGGGGTTTAGGGTTAGAGCCAGGTATAAACAAACAACACATTTCAATAACTCACACTGACCTCCTGTAACTTGGCATAATCCACATATGATAAGGGAGGGGAAAAAACAGTAATTATATATTGAAGAAACCACAAAAAAAATCACCAGAGTACAGAGAAGATGGATAACTATAGGTACCAAACAAGGCTGCTTTAATACTGTTGTTACTGCAGCTCATTAACAAACAAATCTCGTGTGGTAAGCTACAACAGGTCTTGGCTGCATGGAGTGGAAGGCTGGGTTGTCCCCGTGTACACTAGACCTTGTAAATACTTGAAATAAAATGAGTACACTATCGGGTGTAGTTCCTGTTGAATATTAAGAAACAGGCGATCAAACACCATATACAAATATAATAGGGATAAATAGATAAGTAAGTAAACAAATGGATAAGGAAATACGTAGTGACGACGAGAGATCAAAAGCCTTTTAAATTTCACAAATCAGAGGTCACCAATTACGTCCTCAGGTCATGGTGAAAGTTGTAATGGTCATGGGTCAATGTTCTGGTAAAGCAAAATTTCAACAGTAAATGTATATTCATATAAACTCTTGAACGGTTTAACATTTGTATGAACTTTAAGATATATTAAATTTATATTGGATCAAATGGTTGTTTGTGTTTTAACATTATGATGCACGAA